AGGGCAGAGGGGCAACGGGGGGAATGAGTTAGATAAGGATGAGAATATTGGGCCAAGTGGAAGGGAAACGAAGGGATGATGCTCGCGCTTGGAAACTACCTATGCCCGTCGCCGTGCCGGTACGAACAGTACTGCAAAATGTCGGGTACCTACGGATTCCTTCCGTGCCCCCGCGCGCGTATACATCGGGTGTCCCGGAAAGAGACGCGGACAGTATCAACGTGAAGATTCGACGTAATTCAATGGCGAGGGATTTTAAGCGAGCTATTTAAAGCGGATGCAGTAAAATTACACGAAGTCTGATTGAATTTAAGCATAATTAAATTAATAGATAATATGAGAGAGAGAGAGAAAGAGTCATTAACTTGACGACACCAAGTTATTATTGTTTCAAGAGCCAACAAATTCGTACGATTATTCGCGCTTGAAGACTTATAGAGTTTCAAGTGCCAATCCGTCCAGATCTGTCTGAATTTGTTTCTCGAATAATGAGCCATAATTCAAACGGCTTGCGAGTGCGAACACAAGATCCGCAAACAAACGATCACGAGTCTTGCGATGAAACAATCGCGTGATTGTATAACGGTAATACTACGAAGACTTTGATTCGACATTGTATAAATAGCATAAACCTTTGCGGCCTCTAGGGTCTCTACAAATAGGGGGCCGCGTTGTATAAACGGTTAGTAGACAAGCGGTAGACTAGAGGACAGGCGGCAACGACTTAGGTCTCACTTCGATTCGAGCGAACAGGGCAGGGGCAGGTATAAATCTTCGCCATTGGACTTCGGCCGGGCGGCAAGCAGCTCCATGGGACAGGATTTCTTTCTCTCGCTTAGCCAAAGGCGATCGATATACAGAGCACGAGTCGAGAAACTTGGACTTCCGATTAACAGGCGTCTCTCGATTGAGAGACGCCTTAAATAACGCGAACGCGACTGTTTTATCTAATTATAAATTGTACGAGTTTTGAGAAAAAAAAAAACGCTGTCTTTGTAAGATTTGCGAACGAGTATAATAAGAAGCGGAAGTCTTATGCTATGCATTTCGTTGAAAGTTCGAGAACAAGGGCAGATCTCGGACTTCTTGCCACATCACAAGAAGCCGTAACCGCCGTAACATTCCTGAAGCAATGCAAGAAGCTCGGTCGCATGCCGGTGCATGCTGCATCATCGCGCAGTCGCGTGGGTGTGGGTGAAACTGCGTTTATGCGCGCACGCATATCTCGCGTCCTTCGATGAAAAAGGACGAAAAAGGACGAGCGGTTGAACAAAGAAGTGCGTGAGAAACGAACCGCGACGGATCATTCGCTGTTCCAGCGATGGCGTTCCGAGAATGAATATACGTATTTATAAGGGAGCAGATCTGAGGTAGCGATGATTATTTACGTTTACCGCGTATCTGTAAATCCGAGCCTGTTGCGTAGGTATTACCGCGAAAGTAATTCCGGGCGTTTGGTTTATCCCAACGCGAAAGAGGTCGATGGCGACCCTGGGCAAGTCGAGTTACCTGCGAGCGAAGTTATGTCTGAGAAATATCGCCTCGAGTGCAGGCGCGTCGATACGTTGTAGGTGTGTGGGTACACTTACACGTATTAAGCGGCTTTCATGCGTGAATATTGCCGTTGGCACTTTGTTTGTTCCATCGTGATTTTTCCTTTAACCGCGAATAAAATTCGACATCTATAATAAAAAAAAAAGGAAACAAAAGATCACCAATCGTGAAGAGTGGCTACATTCAGCAGAAAAGCTGAAACAGCTTAATTTGCAACTGTTGTAAAATTCTTTAATAACTGATGATCTTGCCCTTAATTCCTCATTGGATTTAAATTATATATAAACCGATCATATTAAAAATTTTATAACAGTTGCAAAACTGCTTTTTCTACTAAATTTTATATAAGCGATTAATCACGTGTACACAAAAAAAGAAACGGGCGCGAGATAATAATTACAGATTGCAGATACAATCGGTAATAGTTAACGATGTGTGTGTGAGGGAGAGAGAAAAGGTCTGCTCTCTGTGACAGAACTAGTGTACACTTTTGGAACATAAAGCGAGATATAGGTATCTATATATTTGATACTTGGCGAAAACGAGAAAGAGCGTGCTATAGTGCAGTCTATAGTAGAGAAATATAAAAAAGCAGACCTAGAGAAAAGACAGAGAGAGTACCGGCCGTGACGTCGCCGACCATGTGAGAGCACCCTTAAGCGCGCCCCCTCCCTCGGCGGGCGCGCGAGAGCGCGTCGAGCTCGCGCACTTGACTGCCGTGCTCTAAGTGAGAGCGCCACGTGACGTCGTCGCGCACGACCCCAGGCCGCTATGTTTCCGATAGCACGCGGGCCGATCGCACGGCGCGCCGCGATTGGCCACACCTTTTCGTGCGGCCGCGCCGCTCTTCGAATGCGATGCAACGATAATAAAACGAGCGACTGCCTTCCGTCTCTGTTTCTCTCGATGCCGGAACAAGCGACATAACGCGGAGTTGTGACGGATGCAAAAATGCATGTGTTACTACTTCGCGGGCGGACCATACACGCGAATGCGAGTGTGACCTGGCAACGTCGCCGATCTGTCGGTCTGTCAGTCGGTCGGTTGGTTGGTTGGTTGGTTGGTTGATCGGTTGTGTGTGGTTGGTTGGTTCATTGGTTTGTCAGACGTATACAAGGTGTCGCACATGAAAGATCTATTGGCTTATACTACACACCCTTTAATGGAGTATAATTTCGATTTCTCTTTCTCTCTCTTTTTCTCTTGTTCTTTATCTTTCATATATGCAAACCCGATAATATAGACGGTAACCGCATATCATCTGTGAACGTTCCGCCATAGCTATGTATATATATTATTCCGCCAATAGTTATATGTGCTTAACTCATCGATTCCACCGATTCCATTTCTGGGACACTGAGTATTATTGTAATTTCCTTCAGGTGATATGACTGATTTAGAAATCCAGAATAAGAGCCAATCAACGATCGTACGTGGCGTTCCAAAAATGAAGATATTATATCAAACGAGTATACTGCCGTGTTTAATAACGTCGTATTTAACTGTATTAGCTGTATACAGACAGTTGATTCCCTCCCGTCTCTTCACGGGGATGACACTCGTTCGTCGATACTCTTTGTCGGCGTTACGTCATCGAGAGAAGCGGATACTAAATGTCTGAATAAATGCAAGTACGATCGATAGGCGGGTCGTTGTAAATATTACATTATACGAGTAAGTTTCTTTTATGCCAAGTATGTAATGTGTCCCCTTCTACTGTGTCTTGAACGAGTAAAATTTTGAAGAAGCGAACGCCATACTCTTGGAATGATATTGGAAAAGTATTTTAATTACACTCTCTAAATTCTTTGGAGTGGAATCTCACTGTAAAGAATGACAATTGAGCCAGTCTTGAGAAAGAGAGTGGCTCAATTTTCAATCTTTAGGAGTGCGTTTCACTCTTCAGAGTGACAATTCACTCTAAAAGTTTTAGAGAGTACACGTTAATTTAATGCAGAATTACAATCACTATACGAAGCGACGCGCGAACCTCTTACGTTGGAGCCTATTTATTTGGGACACTCTGTATATATCGTGATGTCGTAATTTGCCGAAAATAGATTCGACGTGTACACAAATGAGTCGTCTCCGGTATAAAAGAACTAGAATCGTGATGTGATCGTATCGATCCTTCGCGCGCGATATTGTACAGTTATAAATTAATCACGGCCAGATATGCTTAAATTTAACGGTTCGTTCACACATTACGTTATCGAATAACGTTAAGTATTGTTATTAATGTAAGTGTCGATGTAAGCGTTACATGACAGACACGCACTGAAACAATGTTGTTCTGCGTAAACAATTCTTTTATTCAAACATATTTTGCTCCGAACGTACCTCGATCGTTCATTTTGGTCATCATCAAACCGTACAATTACTCTCTCGTATTCAATTATTCTCCGCTGTTTGAACAAAAGAACCCTTTACGCGCCGACACATCGACGCTCTGATTTGCGTTGCCCGCATTTAATACAGACTTCGAATCTATCACTTTATATCGCTATCACATATTATATATCGTTTCGATACTTTTCTTTTTAAAGAAAGTAACGGTAGTTTCCATCGCGGGTCTACAGTTACAGAATTACCTATATAGCGTTATTGTGTAGCATAGTTACTTAACTCACGTAAGATATACCCATGGAAAATGTACCGCGTTTGCACAGTCGGATGTCGCTATCGATAGATCGTTAAAAAAAAAAATGAAAGAAAATTAATGACGATGTCGTGAAGCGGCATAACGCGAACACCGCCCGCGGTTCATAAAATCTCGAACGAACGTATCTCCTTTTATTACGCGTGCGACTGATCGTTTCGTTCCTTAATGAGCACCTGCTGCCGGATCTGACTCCAGCGTTTATTGGCTCTATGCCATTGACATAATAATCGTTGGATTTTATCGGAGGATCGAGCTGCGGTCGATTTCTGGCGTTCTCGTCGTCGTCGTCGCCGGTATTAAGTATAAGGATCCGAGCCAGAAAACTCAGGTGTGATGGAGAGAGCGAGAACAATCATGCTGCGTCGACGTGCGTGACAATTCGAACATCGCGGTTTCGTCATGAGATAAAGGTCGACTCTGCGGTGTGATGCACGTTGACGACTCCCGAGCACGTGATAAAGCGATAAGTGGAAAATTTGCGGACGAAATGCAGGTCGCTTCGCGCCGACATACGGCAACTACTGCGATCACGTGCCTCACGAGCTAATTACTCGTTTCAGCGGTCCGAAGTCGATAAAGTCGATAGTGTATCAATAAGCTGAGTGATAATCTGCGAGTGTCGCTATAAGACGGACAATAATTCGTCATCGCTTAACGTCATTATTTTGCACAATGTTGAGTTTTTTTTCTCCTCGACGTTCGCGAAGTGACAAAGAAGAGTATCTTTGTACGGGATAAGAAAATAGAAGAGAAAGAACGCGTGTGTGTGCTATAGGCAGCTCACCCTCGCTCCGAGAAAGCGGGCCTCCAACAACTCCTGCTTCCTTGGGTCCAGGGTGGCCTGAAAGTGCTCCATCTTGACGCCAGCGCCTGCAACAACAAGTTACAGCGAATTATACTTCGACCTCTCGCCCGTGGCGTCGGTGGCAAAAGAACGAAGAATCTGCGATAAGAATCGAGAAGCGTATCGACGATCTAATAAAGAGTCGATAGCATACGGATCGATGTACTCCGAGATCTTCTCGACTGATTTGGTGGCGAAATCGACGCGATATATCAGAATAAAAGAAATGACGAGGCGAAGAGGACGAGAAAAGAAAAGAAAAAGATTAAGCAAGGGTTAGCCGTGCGGAAAAAACGTAAAGAGAAACATCGCAAAAGTTACCGGATAAAGCCGATATTAAATGCCGGATGATGCTATTACGCGCCGCGCATTCATATATGATATTCGCGCGCGTTGCTGCACCTGAATTTACCGCGATTTCCTTATTGTTCGCACACGTATAAAGATCAAGGGCCGTTTTCTTGAAAAATATTCCATACAAAATATTATAAGGATACTATAATATAAGTGATTTTATTGGTTTTTTTAAATAGACATATAATTTTTATTCTTTGACCCTTATATGGCCTATATTTATATGTTTTACTATCTCATCTGTTCTTTTAATTCTTGTAAAATTTTTTTAACAATAAATTTTTATTTTAATAAAAACTAAATCATATTTTAATTATTTTTTACATATTTTAACATCTAAATAAGAATTGAGAAAACGTGATATTGACTGTGCCTTAAAAGATATAAAGAATGCTGAAGGATAATTTGATTTAACTATTATCTTTTTTATTCAATGACATGAAAAAACAATTTTATTAAAATATTTAAAAATTTTGCACGATACGGATCTAAAAATGATTATGTTGGATAATCAAAATAATTGTATTACACTGTTAAAATCATAGTGTCAAATTGTATTCAATTTATATTAGTTTTAATCATTTCTATAGATCGCCAATGTTCCTACTCAATATGTCGTTAATTTAATTAAAACAATGGAGTCAAACTATTCAATTTAAGACAATGTATTAAATTTGATTCAAAATTAATTTATTATTTACCTACTAAATGCATTAATATAGACGTTGATTGCTTCGAAACTAACTATAGAAAACGGACTGATTTTGACAGGTGAAAGCTAAAAATAAAATGTTATTTAACTCAATTGAATGTCCATTGTATCTTTGATATTTAACAATAGGAAATTCGAGCCATACTGCAAAAAAATCTGATATTCTAGCCACTAGTTTTTTGAGCGTATCACACAATTATTTTGATCGTTCGTTCAACAAAATTATTTTCAAATGTATATTAAATCTTTAGATACTTGAGCAGAACCGCGTCCTTTCCACGAAGAAGCATTTCCAACTGCGCGAAAGAACGCGTAGTAGCGGCGACGGTAGCGACCATACTTATTCCCTTGCGTGGGTTTGTAAAGAACTTGAAAATGGATTGCATCGCAAAGGATTTATCTTTGGACGAATCCGAGCGAGGAAAAATGCGGGGAAAGCGAAAACGCTTGTCCTCGACGAACCGTTACTCCTATCCGAATTCCCCCAAGTAGAAAATTCGGATAGGAATGCCACCTTTGGAACTGCAATTACCGGACGTTTCGACAATGGTATTCAACGCCCACTGTCAGCATCTCCGATCATAACTGCGATGCTACCGAAGCCGCTGATGATTACCGCGCGCGCAATAAACTGGACATCCCACGGGTCGTAAACGGCGCAATCCGAGTGCTATAATTAGCGTTTTGCGGGGCCACGTTATGCCGGGCATTATCTATTTCGATCAAACGGATTGGATTTAACTCGCCCGTCGATCCTCTCCGCGAATAAACCACATTCTATTGTGTGTGACTCGAAGACCGTCTCGTAAAATTAGTCGAATCGACAGCAGACAGAAATAATAGATAATTTGCGCGTTAAACAAAGCACTCGCTTACGTGCGTTGCGTGCGTGCCTTTCCATCTTTATTATTCACGTTACGGATGAAACTACTGTCCGAGAAAAGAATCACCCTAGGGTTAGTTAACTACCGGCGGGACGTAGTTTCCCAGAAAAAAATTATCGTTCAGTTTAAACCCGTCTAAGTCCACGGTGAGCGGTGCGTTTTTTTGTATTTACAAATGGAATCTTCAGTAAGTAGCAGATCTCTATAAATTCACTGGCTAGCGAGACGACACGCATGCGAGAACCAACAAAAAGATTTTACTTACTTATATCGTATAGGAAAAAAAGTCTGCATTAAGTGGAATTCTTAGTTGAAAATAAACGCAAATTAGGATTTTCTGGCTAAATTACATTTACTATCATTTTAGTTCAATTCTGATAAATATAATCAGAATTTTCTAATTAAATGTTACACTGAGAAACCCATTTAATTGAGTCAATTAATTTCTCGTTTGAATGTGGATAAACAAAATCTTTGCTTAATAAAATAAAATAATTTAGTCCAAGTAAAACATTTGGTTATTGCAACATTTTACTTGCTTCTGATAAATATTGACACCTGATAAACTTGTTTATCCAAACAAGAACTTAATTGATTCGACCAAATAGGTTTTCTCAGTGTGTACAATGGAAAAGATTGCTAACTCTTAATACAAATTTCTCTTCAGTGCTAAATAAATAAATATATATTTACATTTAGTAAATATTTGATTAGTACTATTTAAACAAAAGATTTACTAAAATTTAGTAAATTTTTTTCAGTGCAGTTGAAATATAACCAGAATTCCAACAACATGATTAGAATTTTCCGGAATTTTCCAGCTCGTTTTCAACCAGAAATTTGTCTCGTCAGCGTACGAGCTTCAGTTTTCATAGATTGGTTTAGCAGAAATCGTCTCTCTCTTTTCATTCTGTTATCAACACGTACATACACGACTGAATGAGTCGCACTGCTCGCCGTTACTTTCGAGAATCACTGCAATCCGTTAAAGACATTATACACGTTCACGATGCGTGACCGGCCGTTGCGCGTTACCAAACGGCGCAACATTGTTTTGTACGCTGATGTTTAACGATCTTTTCCATTCCGCGATCGGATCGCAGGTAATAATAATGGCGCGCGCGTTCGGATTCGACGGGAGAATTGAGAAAGTGATGAGATAATTGATCGTCGCCGCATGCGACAATTAAAGCCACTTTGGGCCGGGACAGCCGGAACGCATCTGGCCGTTCGATAAATCCGAGCGAGTGAACGCGTGAAGCCGCGCTCGTTCGCGCGAGTGCAGTAGCGCAGTCATTGAACTCGTCGTCGGCCACAATTTTCATGTAAAACGGGGGCAAGGCTATTTTATTCGTAGTGCCTGGGATAGGCGAACGGACTCGCCGAGTATGAAGATAGACGCGGTTCGCCGAGGCGCAGGTTTTAATTGTGCAATCCAAAACAATGCACTTTTACGACACGGCGGTGTAACGTCGCGCGCGCGACGAATCCGGGAAATACTTCGATTTCTTCGCGTTAAAAATATTTAGACCCCTAACTCTTAATGACAATAACGATATCGTCCATTATACATTGTCTCTTTGCAGTTTTTTTTTTTTTTTTGTTATCACGTAAGAAACCTGCGCAAGAACAATGTATTGACATCAAAACAGGCATAAGCCAGAATAGGAATCTTAATCTCTGTCGAGAATTAACACTTTCGGATTTTGTGTACATTGTATAAAACACACCATTTAATTCTTCGACATCATCTGACACACAAATATACATATAATAGTGATGAAAAAAAATTAATTATTTTTGATATGAATTATTTGCTAAAGTGCTCGAATCGAATTAAAAACATTTTTTAACATGGTTTCAATAAAATCAGATTTGAAGGAGTTAATGTACAGACTGCTCCAATTGACATGAAAAAGTTTTTATCCGTCGCCTTCGCTATACCTTCGCGAGCGAGCAACCGGCATCTTTAGCTTCGCGTGCGACGTTTACATCGGAGAAGTGTCACGACTGGCAACGGCTGGAATTTCATTCGTTCTACAAAAGGCGCGGAGAAAGCGAGGCGCTAGCAACAATGCGAGACTTGCTCAGGATATTTCGCGAGCGGTTCTACCTACACGGCGAATGCATTACGCGCGGCGTCCATCAGCCGAATCCTCTGCATCCTTCGAAAAAGTGTGCCACGCGAACAGCGGGTAGCATCTCCAACGGCACCGCCGTCGCGACGATGCTGTCGAGAAACGATCCACTTGTTGTTTGCCGAACAATACTGGAAACGCGACGAAGCCACGAGCTGCTCTCGTCGCTTCTTCTCTCTACCGTGGTGGCATTTGAGAAATGACTAATTAAACACGATTTCGCGGGAATCTATATTATTCCGCGAATCTATATTTCCGCAGTCGCGATAAAAACGAGAAAAACTATCGCGTTTGATCGGATGGACGCGCGAGTGCAACTTTGTTGCGCAACGCGGGACGCAGCGGTTCGCATAGTGCACGATAATCATCGCATTCCTGCGTAAGCGAGTGTCATATCGCTATTCTGTAAGAATTAAATACATTGTTTTTTTTTTCAGTATTGAGTACTTTCTTTTCTCTCCTTATATACGTCGATACTCTTCATCCCCCGCATTTTCCCTTCGCGATAAAACGGAAGGTATTAGTCGGTTAACATGTGACGTTGTCGGAATGTTCAGCAGAGTTACCACGTGGTTTACAAGGGGTGCCTTCCATTTAGTGACACAGGTATCGTTATGTCTTTGTTATACGTATGGAAAAAAAGATGGAACGACATAACGGAAAGCACCCAAGATCCCTATGTGGTGAAATCGGTCACTCGCTACATTGGATTAGCACATATTAAAAAAAAAAGCTACTCTACATTTAAATCAGTAAAAAAAAATCAAAATAAATGTCTATATGACATATTTAAATACAGTGATGGTATAATATAATCAACTTGGGCAATGAAAATAATATATTCCGTTAATTTACGCAATAATATCATTATTTAATCGTTTAAAAGGTATTTAATCATCTAAAATATTCATATGTGCTTTTACATTGATAAAAAAATGATTATATCTCAACAATTTTCAATAATGTTAATTAAATGTTTACGTAATAAAAAATAAATATTTACTAAAAAAAAGTCAAAAACCAATTAATGGTTATTGTATACAAATAAATATATGTTTACATTCCGGTAAAAAATTAGTACTATTCAAACATTGTTTAGTAAAATTTAATGCGTTTATTAAAATTTATTACCAAACTTTAGTACATTTTTCCAGTGTACGTTTAACTTTGCTAATTTGATGTAGAGTACTAATTCAATATGCAGTAATTTAGTGTAGGTGGTTAGGTAATGCAAGTGACTGAATTCGCTATTATTCTCGCAGGAGAAAAAGCCTCCCTGCTGCGGACGCTCAGCTACATAAAATAACAAACTGAATTCATGCCTGTTTCTATCAATGTAGATTAACTTTAATCTCTCTCGGTTTAACTTAAAAATCTTTTTCTAGTTCTATAAATTAGAAAAGGATAAAAAGTAAACTCGGATTAAAGTCAATCTGCAATTGGTGGTAGAAATGGACACCGTTGACTTCCGTGAAGTTGGCATCTCATTATCGAAATTTCACTGTAATAGAATTTTTTGAGTTCCTGATAGATTGATTTCAAAGAGAGTTCTGACGATTAAATGTAAAAAATAATTTGAAAGTACGCGATGCCAGCTTCATCACCGAATCTGTTATGGATTCTCTCTTGAATAAACTCAACAATTGTTCGAAAGATAGCGTGATGACAGGGTCGGACAGGGGTCAACTGAGACTTTCAATATTATATCTCACAGTGAATGTTGAAAGATCGACACGATGAAGAGTTTACAGAATAGAGTTCTCTCGGGCGAAACAACATCATCAAGCGAGCAACTGAAAATAATAAGACAGTGAATTTTCTGAGATAATCAATTTTGCAATGTTTGTGATTATGCGAAATCAGCGAAATCACTCGCGAGGAACACGTTATCGCCTTTGATATTTTCAACATAACGAAAGATTTCAAAACAGTTTCGCCTATCGCCTACAACGTTCTCAAGGCTATTTTCATATCTGAAGAGTGTATTTTTACGCGCAAGGTGAATAAAAAATTACTACCAATACATTTACATACGGCTTAACTATGTTGCAAAATAAGTTTTTGCGTTCGTTGAAGTTGACACCAGCGTTCGCATCTCGTAATATACATATACATAAACGTAATTGAGCTGCCAACCGACGACGACGGTGTGTCCGCTCCTCGGCTGATTTATCCTCGCGTTACTTATCTAATCTCGTGTATTATAAGACCGAAATAACATCCGTATTTTCATACACCGGGCGTCCCGAAATTCTCCCTAGAGTGAGAAAGAGAGAGAAAACATAGGAATATCCCGAGTCATCACTTTCCGCTCGATGTTTTCGTTAATCTATCTAAGCGATGACGGGGTTAAAAAAAAAAGTGGAGAACGAGCGAGTTACAAGAGAGAATGTGCAATGTCAATTGAAAACACTTACCACCACCAGAGTTCCAGCAATTATCAGTCATCCCTGTTTATCCATCTGCAGAGTTGGCACTACATTATAATCACACTGATCCAACTCGCTCGAATGTCTCGCGGCACGTTGGTCTTTGACGGCGACGGCGTCGTTACGCGCGCCGGATACACTTTTCATGAGCCCTAGTGCCGCCCGAAACAAAACTCTCAGCTCCGCCGCATCGCTTTACACCAATGAGAGCACCTGTCTCATTATTGATCTCACACTACACTCTCTCTCGATCGCCGATGTACCGGGTGGGCCGCACCGCGAAGACCATCCGTAAGGTTTTCGCGTACTCCCGATTAGCACCCGGCCACCCGGTGGGCCACTTCCGCTGACGATACTCGAGAATTTCCCTTCTGTAACAGCACGATCACGCGCGTCTACAGAACCGCCAGGAACACGAGTTCCTTTTTTTTTTTTCTTGAGCCGTTTTTCCGATCAGGCAAATCGCAACTGCTCGATCGTTATACCACTGGCTGCGTTTCCCGCAGAGAAAACAGCTTTGCAGCTGTTGTAAAATTCTTTGAGTCTATTCTATAATGTAGTAAGCGTAGTTGTAAGTGGTTGTAGTCGTAAGATTTGACCAATCGCGTTCGATATTCTCAAATTTTCGACCGTGATTGGTCAATTTGATATGACTTGTACATTCAAGCGGCGTCTGTAATGAGATTTCAAGACGTACAATTATTTAAGATTTAAACCCCAAGCCGTAAAAAATTTATCACAGTCAAATGTAAAGACAATAATCGACTATTAATGTTTTTCATTGGGAAAATTAGTGCAACAGTGTGCGAAAACCTTACGGATGATCTTCGTAAATGTAAATTAATTCACATATTTTCAATGTTAATAAATAATGTAACTCTTTTAATTACATATTCCTTATTGTCACGATAACCTCGTAACCTTAAAGAGATTATTTATTAATACTTAATTGCACCAGTGTTGCACTAGTTTCCCCAGTAAAAAACGCAGAAACGTTATGTCAATTTCTTATGGCTTAAGTTTTACGCCTTAAAATCTCATTGTAAACATTGCTTTAAATTCAATGAGAAATGAAAGGTAAAAGTGGTTCTAAAATCTGTTTTGCTGATTATTTTTCAAAAATACGTTAAAATACTTAATTAACTGCCTTCACACATATTTTAAAAAATCTGACTTAAATCCGACTTTGCCAAAAACAAAATTAATTTTGTGTCAGTTTCTGGCATCAACTACTGGTAAGTAATATTTGCTTTGTATACAAGTTTTATAAGTACAAAACAATATTTGTTTAAACTATTAGGGATTACATAAATAAACAGTTAAGTTCTTAGAATTAAACTTAGATATATAAAGTAAAAGATTAATTAGAAAAATTACATATGTGTGTATACAAGGTGTGTAAATTCTACTGAATTGGTAAAACCAACAACTTTAGGGTCCTCTTAAACACAATAAAAAGCATAGATAACAGGAACAAAGAATAAACAGATTTAATCCTATCAGGAATGTATATTCTAAGGTACGAGCCACTTAACGGTACGAAAGCTTCGTTGACTAATCAGAAGAAGGAATTTTATGAATTGACCAAGTAAGCATTAGTAGATGTTTACACTTACTGGAAAAAGTCTGATTGCATTAATTGAAGTTTATTTGGAAAAATAGACAAAAAATTATTTTAATCATTTATCTAGTTAAAAAAGTAGAAATATGCTTGATATAATTAGAATTTTTTGATTCGTCCATTTTCGATCAGAAATAAATTTTCAGCAAATTACATCCCTATATACATACATATATCTGATAGATTATTATCTCTTATTCCTCGTTTCTTTATCTGCCCTTTTAAATAAAATTATTTAAAGTCTAAGATCAAGCATATTACAAAATGTTACAACAGTTGCAAAACTTTCTTCTCTGCCGAACACGCAGCCATAGTTCGAGCGAGTGCCATCGAACGATTATCGATCAGCGTCTGCTTCGAGAGACTCGTTCTCCGCGGATTCGTTCGTCCCTGCGAGAAAACACGTGCGCACACCGTGCACGTTATGCGTTACGAGCACCGTTATTATCCTCTTATAATACACCACGTCGTCGTCCTACGACGGAAATCAGAGTTGGTCAAACGGATCGATCGTATTGACGAGACGAGTCGCCGCCGATCGCTTCTCAAATTAGTCCTCGGCCGCGTGGAGAGTGTCCGTCAACACGGAATTCATTACGATGGACAATGTACGTTCCGAGCGTCGTGTGTCGTCCGAGGAATACATGAATACGAAGGCGAACGAAACGAAACCCGGGAGAAAATAAATTGATGATCGACGGCGGAATCGACGCGCGCCACTTTGCGCGTCCTCGAGTATCCTTATCCGCGCACGGGCCCGAATAACCACATGCGAGAGATTTTCACCTCGGGAATCATTTCTCCGTACGCCCCTCATCCGCCGTAATATCGGAAAGAAAGCCAAGACCAGCGAGGACAAGAGGAGAGGGGAGGATACGTGCTACTACGTAAGAGTGTACTACCAGGTGCAGCAATGCGCATAATGGCTGCATTCGGCAGACTCAACAGTTGAGTGAGCGCTCGCTCGCTCGCTCGCTGTTATTCGTGTATTCTTCTAGATCATCCAATTAGACTTGTATGATAGATCTATAGCGGCGAGCGCTCACTCAACTGTTGAGTCTGCCGAACGCAGCCAATGGCGGCATGATAAATCAAGAACCCATCACGAGCGCGAAATTCGAACGTTAAAAAAATGTAATGCACGCGAAGAATTTTTCCATTCGATCCTATTAGATATGTTTTCTAAAGCTGTACTGAGCAGAATTTCTGCCAAAAATGAACGTACCAGTAAGATTTTGATCATCGCAGTTGGATATTTCTATTAAACTAGAATTATCTATAATAGATTTGACCAGAAAATTCTGACTCGTCCATTTCAGAAATTTTTTTTACAGCGCAGGGTACACTTTTTCTACTTGAAATGAAATATAATAGGTACGTTTTAAAATAAATAAAAAAAAGCGAAAAGGAAAATTCTATCTACAATCCAGAACATGTATGAAATTATTCGAAATGGATAGGAATTGTTCCTTAGGAAATACAATTGGTACTTTCCAGCAAGGACACAGTCAATATGTAACACAGTGAATCATTACATCCTTGATGTATGTCTACGTGAAACAAGGATGAAATGATTCACTGTGTTGCACGAGGTCGTCTGTCCGCGTTGCTTGCACTTTTCGCACTTAGCAACTTCGTTCTCTCTTTTTTCAACAACAGAATGTATTTATCCCGCTTTAAGTGCAAACATCTTTGGGAATTGCAAGCAATGCGAACAAACCTAAGTATGTGACTGTGTCCTTGCTGGAAAACGCCCAATCGAAATCTAAGGAATAATTAAACGTTTTCGATTGGACTCCACATTCCGAATAATTTCATAATACGCACCTAGAATAATGATAAAAGGCAAACCTATTTTCTAAGACGCGATACTCTTTTTCTCTTCTATATTTTTTTTTTTCTAATAGTGAAAGAGTTTCGTTTTAAGACCGTATTCATAGTCCATTCTGATTTTAAGACCGTTTTAAGTAATGTCTTAAGATGTTAATTACAGCTCCGTGCGATTGGAACGTGACACCTCGAGACTGTTATTACGTAAGACGATTTTAAATATAAGAATCGAATGTGAATAGCAGTCTGAAGAAAAAATGAGAAAAATGCAGCGGGAAAGGACGACGCTCGAAACTCTTGGGAATTCGAACGCGAATCCTAAAAGAGGACCGGCGAGATGAGGTTATGTGCCGATGTAAACCAAGGGCGCCGGCATTTTCGAGGGCCGCTCGGACTTAAGCCCGAACTACGCGACGGCACGCGACATTGCGCTCAATCGATTCGAACGAATTTTCTATCGCGTGTCGGGACGTAACGCAGGAATAGAAAAGTCGAGCAACGAGGATTCTCTTCCGAAATCTTGAAGATGGCGTTGATCGCCGATAATTAAAACTTCTTTCATTCGGTCTATTATTTCTATCTCGAATGATACATTGCAGTTATATCGAATCGTACAGAAAATCATGAACAAAGTGACGTTTCGATTGTAATTTTTTTTTTTTTCGTAAATCGCGTTTAATTGTCACGGTTCGTCGCGCCCTTATTAAGGATGTATGTTTTGAAATGAGGCGAAAATTACAAAAGTGATTAAAAATTCACTAGAATATCTTCAAAATCTGTTTGCTGTATTTTTTTTGCACTCATTACTCTATGAAACCTTCAAGCAGCGGTTACAATGAGAGTTTAAGGCGTAAATTTTAACCCTTGAGTCGTAAAAAATTGATCACAATCGAATGTGAGGGGAATACTCGACTTTGATTCATCAGTTTCTTACGGCTTAAGATTTACGCCTTGAAATCTCATTGTAGACGCCGCTTTAGAGTGAATTTTATTCTAAAGAGTGAAATCTCACTCTGATTAAAAATTGAACTGCTCTTTTTCAAGACTCGTTGAATTTTTTACTCTTTATATGAGATTCTACTCTAAAAAAAATTAGAGAATCTCCGCTTTATTTTTGTTCAATGCTCGGTAATACATTTATCTCATTAGTGCAAAAAGTTATTAAAGATTTCGAGTAATGCTGACACATAATTCATTGATCAACATCTAGCGAATTTGCTTACTTCCAGTAATTTTCATCTCGTTTCGAAAGAGATACACAATCGACCCTCTGTTCCTTTCGGCTAACCTTACAAGGTTCTCCACGTCGAAGAGAAGGAAAAGGCGAACAGATGAAACGATACGAAAAGTAGAACTGAAAAAGAGCAAGCCTATTGGCCCCGATATCGGCGTCGACAAAATTACAACGCAACAATACCGACCGCGTAGGCGCCGGCTTTAACTAAAGAGAGTGAGAGAGTAAATTGATCGAGACAGCGGAGACACGGTCGGTGACGACCGGCCGCCGTTTAATCCCACCGATCGATCCGATCTTCGCGAATCCAACCTGCAATGCGATCCGCCCTGCGGAGCGACATCCGCCGCGATTAATTCCGCGCGTTTGGAATCCCCCTCAACGGGATTCAACCCGCTCTCGAAAAACGGCTCAAGTTTGCGTATAGTAGACGCGCGAGAGAGCCGACGAGGTGAGGCGAGACGAAACGAGACGAGACGAAGCGAGGCGGCGACAACAACGGCGGCGACAACGACGACGACGACGACAAGGCGATGGCTCGGATTGTCGAGACCTGCCTTCGTCCCTCCCTTTTTCCTCCCGCGGCCGCCTCCCAGTCTTCTCGCGACGTCCAGCCGGAGACTTGGAGTTTACACACGGCAGAGTAATCGATTCACCAACTAAACGCAATAAACGCACTTCTCGAAGATCTCCGAAGCAGACACGACCGGCGCGACTCACTTGTTTCTTTCTTTTTTTTTTCTTCGACTCCTTTTACGTCCTCCTGTTCCTCCTGTTCTTCGTCCTTCCTTCGTTCCGGCTGCCGGTCTGTCGCGTTCTCGCGAAAACGACGCGATTACGAAGTAAACGCGCGGCGATAGGGGGTCAGGCCTCTCCGTGTTCTTTTCACTCAGCACCGCTGCTTCCGTTTTCTTCCCCCGCACGCGGTGCGTCTCTCTCTCTCTTTCTCTCACGCGCGACAAGGCAGCGCACTTCCTAATACGTCGGCTGTCTCTCTCTCTCCCTCGCTCAGCCGTTTCTTCTTCTCGCACTCACACGGAGAGGCGAAGGCCTGGTCGAAGCGGCGACACGCGCTCGTGAAATTTCGTGACTCCGCCGAGCAGCACGCGCCGTTCACCGCATCTCTCGTCGAGTATATATGATAGACGCGGACAAATTTCCTTCCCTCTCGCACCTCTCCGTCCCTCTCGTTCTCTATCAATCGGGAGGGGAGGGAGGGTCTCTTTCTCTCTCTTTCTTTCTCTCTCTCTCTCTCTCTCTCTCTCTCACAATCTCGACAACAATCTGTCCTCTTTCATGGCATAGCGCGCTTCGTTCATCGGAAGAAAGGAGGAAAAACTCATCTGGAAGATGGCCGCCGCCTGCCAGTCACCGATTTATCCCTCTCTCGCATGGCGCACTCTTTTACGACGGGGGACCACTGCGAGCCCATCCGGGGAGGCCGCGACTCAACCGCGGTCACCGCGGCACCGGGTCGTTAACTGCGACACTGAGACTACTGAGAGACGGCGGGGAACCGGGAGAAATCGGTACACACGACACCACGACGACGACGACGACAACAATAACAACAACGATTACGACGTTGATGATGACAGAACGACACACAAGGAACGATGACACGAGCGGAAGTCCCTGGGATGCCGGTAAACGCGCGCGCGTCTCGCGTCGGCCGCACTCTCGCTCGCTGGCCCGACGGTACTCGTACTAAAAAGCTCACCTCTCGGTAGGAACCGTAACGCACTCTCTTCTCGATACACAGAAGCGCAAACACGGAGGCACACTCTCCACACTATCGTATAAGGTAGAGACACACGCGCGAGCGGGCGCGCGCGCGCACGCGGCTTCGTACGTGTACACACTATGCACTGCACACCGCGCGTCAACGGCACGGCGCGGCGCGACGCGGCGCGGCGCGGAGCGGAGCGGAGCGGAACGAGACGGTGGTTCCGCGGAGCACGCGCGCGCGCGCGCGGAGACACCACACGGGACTTTAAAAAAAAAAAAAAAAGAAGGGATTCTCTCTTCTTTCTCTCACTCGCACGCGCTCTCGTGAATGATCGAGCGAGATCTCGCGGTCGAATTCACGCGCACGCGACCAACTGTACGCGAAGACACACAAACACACCTTTTTCTCGAGGATAACGCCGAACCGCCCCGATTGTTTTTGTTTTCGCTGCACTACTTAACGACGACGACGACGACGCGGAATTTCAAGAATGACGGCGGCGGCGACGGCAACGGCAACGACGACGACGACGACAGTGACGTTGCCAGTCACACACCATGGCGTTCGCACGGCCTCCTTCTGTCTCGCTCCCGCAAACCGAGCGGCACCTTACGGCACTTCGGCTATTATCGGTGAGCTACGATGTTTATTCGGCGGCGCATCGGCCGACCAGTCACGGCTCGCGGCGAGATCATCCCCGCGGTTCTCGCTTTCGTTTCGTTTCCCTACTACTAGCCGTCCCGTGCCGTGCCGTATCCGCCGTATGCGGCATGATTTTAAGGCCGCGTTCACACCGCGCAAATTATTATTACCGCCATCGTCTACACCTATTATACATTTACGCGTTCGTGTCCCAATTCTTATTCAATAATTGAGTAAAAATTCGGGCATGAACGCGTTAAAGTATAGATACATATGATCGATAATTAAAAAATCTTTACGTATTGTGTATCCCAATGAAACAAAAAATTATTTCTACGAATGTGTAAATTAACTTTAATTTCGATTTAATTTACTATTAATCTTCTAGTTGCTTGAATTACAAAAATATAATAGTAAATTAAACTTTCTTGAACAATGTTTTGAACAAAAATAAATATTTATTGTATCAATTGTATACCAGCTTAGAATATTCTTCGAAAAAAATAGATCTTAGACTAATTAATTTTAATTTTAATTTAACCTATTTTTTCCAATTTATTAGAACTAAAAGAAGATAGGAAATATGTTAAACGTTTAAAACTTTATTCCAAAAGACAAACCTTAAATTAACTTTATTTTAATTTATATTATCTACGCTTTATTTTTTTTCAGTTCTTAGAATTAGAAGATAAAAAATTAATATAAAGTATCTTTAACGAACTTTCGAGAATGTCAAAAATAAAAACAAGCGACGGGCCAATGAGAGTTAAAAAGCGCGGTAATAGTTATATTAATCGCGCGGAAACAAAATTTATTTATTAATATAATTCTTAAATTAGTTAAAACGTTTTGGTTTACTTCTGAGCCATCTTCAGTGATTTGACGGAATATAATACAATGTAATGTCCTCATGGCTGCAATGGAGAGTGACAAATCCCTCTAACTCCATTCAATTTGACACAATGGATGAAAATTCATGTGGCAAAAGAATCGAAGAATAGATTCAATGCAGCCATGAAAACTATGAATGAATCAATATGAATTGATCGAGCTATTACGATAGTCAAAGAGAACGTGGTATACGCTTCATTATACGACAACGGTCAACAGTCGAATAAATTATATTGTGAATAAATAAATTTTCTTTTTGCACTATTTACCGCGATTTAACTCTCATTAGCTCGTCGCTTGTTTTTAAATTTTTTGTTTTTAAAAAATTAATATTCAGGACATTTTTCAAAAAGGACCTTAGATATTAATCTTTCACTTATCTTTTTCGAAATTTTGAAACTACAAGGTAAAGAAGTTAAATATTTAGAATTCTCTTTTTTTGTGAAAAAAGAACAGATCTTAGATCAACTTTAATTTCAATTTAAAATCTACTCTCTTTATCTAATTCTTAGAACTAGAAGACGATAAAAAGTAAGTTATAAAAATTCAAAAACATTCTTTAAAAAGGACAAATCTCTACATTGGTAGAAATAGACAAAAAATAAGCGATTAACGTTAACGTTATAATCCGTCATGCAAGAAGGACCATCTAAGAACACATTCAGAATTAGATATATTATTTCTTAATATTTTGGCGAATGTTGGTACTACAGTCATAGGATACAATTACAGTATAATAATTCGTTTTCCAGATCGTGTGACGCTCCGATTCCTTACATTTTTCGTAAGCTGTACAAACTCGCGTTTTATAAATATAGAAAACATATTCAATTTGTGGTGAGATGGAGAGAGGGAGGTTTTTAAATAACTTCCCCTCGCGATAATATAACATCTAAAGCTGTGCGAAAGGGTCGCCGAATTATTCTTTTTCTAACATTTTTGTCTCGATTGGTGATAAATTAACTAGAATTGTTTTTGATATATGTATAGATACAAGAGCACGCGCGCCTTCATATATAATTCTATCGTAAAGAGTAAATCTTAATAACTATGAAGTATTAAAATCCTATTGTTTTTTGTGAAAAAAGACATCGTTACAAAATATACCTTGTAATAAATAAAATGTATGTACACGTGTTATAAATAAAAATTTTAATTAAAAATGTCTACGTACGAAATATGACTACTTTTCCTATACAATAATCTTAAAGACAGCGCGAAGCAAAATTCATCGTCCATATCAATTTAAATCGTTTGAAGAAGATTCATAATTTATCTTTAAAATAGCAATTAAAAAAATCAACATTTATTGAGAAGACGTTCACATTTTATTAAACATTTAATAAAATTATTAAACGTTCATAATGACGATTTTGTTTATTAGTAATTTGATCGTTTTGTATCGCGCCATTTAATTGCTAAATGCATTTCGTACATTGATATTTTTTTCTAAAAATGTACACGTTCCACATTTGGCACACTTTACTTACGTAAATAAAGACGTACCCTAAAACCGAATCTTCGGAGAATTCGAGTCGTAGATTAAACTAAATATCACAAAGATGCACTTATAACAAATTAAATAAACTAGACTGGGCGTGTGAACTGTTTATTCTGAAAACAGTGGTATAGGCATGTGTGCGAAAATGAGATAAAATTTGTGAGATTAGATATTCTCGATCAAAATAAACAGCTCGCATATTTTCTACATATAGCTTTCTATTAAATAACAGCCTAAGATAAAATTTAACATAAAATTTAACAGATCGACTTCGTATCCGCAACAAAAATCGCCATTCAGCGCCAAATGTGGCCGTTTGAGATTCACTCGCTTAATACACAAAAACGGTGTAAAAATAGAACGAGTATTAAGTATTTAAGTACCATTAAGCTCTACAAAGGAGGGAATCGTAAAGTAATAATACTACTACGTAAACATTCTTCACGTAACTACAAATATTGTGGCGAAGAAAACCTTCTTACCTTAATCAGATATACGTATGTTATCATAATGATTACTCTAGTAGCGCTATAAATGATCTACACGTGTGCTCTAAGCTTAATTGAATCGTAATTCTACTACGATTAACGGCAGCTCTTCATTCCACGAATAATCGTCCACGATCTTGATGGTAAAACTAACAATTTATTCCGACGGATATAAGGATACAATCGATTTAACAGCTATCTATCATGATTTAGAATAATTTAGATCTTTCATTACCGATCTACCGAATTACAAGGGGATCGTCATGTTATATACGGAACTAATCGTACGGTGTAATCTCGACAATAAATGGAGGTAGCAATATTGTCAATAACAGGATTAGCCTTAGTGAAATGAATTATGGAACAATGTACAATGTTTATGTCTTGTCGGATATCGGCTGTCCCAGTTTCCGAACTTTCCACGCATCCTCTACATGTAATCCACTATTCACGACAGTACAAAATACTGGAACCCTGCTAGATAGATAGAAATTTACCGCGATCGATAACGCACAATATGGTGGATGTCAAGCATGTCACTCTTTCTTGCGTTTCTTTTACGCGTCTAAAGAATGTACTCTTACGATCCGAGCAGTAAATGAGACTATAAGGTCTCGTCGAAATAATACGCAAAGCTCGGGCAAGAAATCATCATGACAATCGCGATATACTCTGCATTATTTTTTTATATACAAAGGATACAGGTACTTCTTAAGCGAGAATATCTCTATGTGTAAATGAAATAATATTACTGTACGTAATATAGATATGTGTAAACGTGTAGAGTAGCCTTCGAGAATAGGTAAGATTTGTGATTGAAAAAATGCTTTCTCTATTATTTAGACTTTAGAGTTGAGTGATTCTTCGAGCGTTGCTAAATTGCGTACATTGAAAAAGTAGAATAAAAAACCATTCGCGACGGTTACATATTTTTTTGTAATGAAACGATATCACATATCTTACGTATATAAATCATATACAAATTATATGTACAATATTCAGCGAAAATTACAAAAAATTGTACTTAAATCAACAATACCAGCTTAACTTCTAGAATTTGCCCGGTAGCTTAAAAAAAAATCTCTCTGCGAAACTGTATATCACATTAATGTAGTCTGTTGTTCGTACGCGCAATTTTAATTTCGTACTTTATACTTTCTTTCGCTAAAACTGAAGTGCTTTAAAAAGTTCGGTCGTTTAACAAGCACGAGTCTTGCAAGAAATCCTTTGTTTCAGTTTTATATATCTTTACCAAACAACTTTGTCCGACTTTTATATTTTTAACTTCGATCACTCGCCATCGTTTTTTCGTTTCTCATTGACATATGTTTCCGTATTAATCAAGATCGACGGCAAAGTCCGCGTTACTAGTAGTAGAGATATTCATCTCCTCGTCTTCGACAGACTCTTTGTCTATGACGCTGGATACCGTGTGATGGTTGTTTGTCGTTTGATTATCGATCTTTACTTCATCGACCGGTTGAACTGTCGTTAGCGTGGTCCACCAGTTTGAGAATGCCCCTTTTGCTTGCGACAGTGCTCCCCCTTGTAAATTGTTAGTTCCAAGAATAATATTTCTATGCGTAGACACACGCGAGTCTGATCGCATCAGACGTTAAGCGAAATTATATTGGACATCTGATTTAATATTCTCGACTATGATTTTTTATATATAATTAGATTCCAAATTGTACATGTGAATATAGAACGTAATAAATATAAAGAGATACGTATATATAATTTTTTAAATACGTATTAATATGCAGTTTACAAAACATTCGCATTTAGAAATTGACAATACATTTAAATGCTCTACTATCCGGGGGGCTTACATTTAAATAAATAAATTATGCAACCTTACCCACGGCTTTTCCAGTGGTGGCCACTGCGCGTCCAGTCGTTGCCATCGCCTGATTCAACTTTCTGCCGCTTTCCGTATTTTGCATCGTGCTGAAACAACACGAGGTTTTTATTTTCTTAAATACTCTTAATTAAAATAAAAAATAGTGTAACATGAAAAGCAATGGATTGAATTAGTCTATCTTTTTTGTTCCTTACACTATAAATTTATATTTTATATATGAAATTTACTTACTGTGATAACCGTAATTTCATATCCTGCACCGACAGTTGACCAGCGAACGGGTGCCCAGGTTCTATATTGTGTATCTCTGATTTGCTCGCACTGTACCACGTTTTATAATTATTTGTAGTGCGCCACGCGGACATGAATGCTGCATTGTAATGATCCGACTGACGAGTATCTTGTTGCATGGAAGTACGCAGCATACTCAACAGGTATACCCGGAACTGTGTTCTGATCCATTCGTCGCCGCCCTCCCATCCGACCCCGTCCAGAAAAATATCCTTCCGAGGCTCAGCTACATGCCTTACGACGTAATCGGCAAATCTTAAATCCTCCGTGGTGAGATGCAGCTGTCGCCTCAGCTCAGGATCGGTCGCCTCTATCCGCGTATTTTCAACCTTTTAAGTAAAGAGTAAACGATTATAAAACAAACCGTTTATATTTAAACATACATCTAGCTTTATTTAGACTACCTCCACTAGCACATCGATGAGCTGCTTCTTTTGTTTAAACAGTACATTTGTTGCACCTACTATATATCCTCTCACATTAACATCTCCCAAGAGATCCAAATAGGGCAAAGATAGGTAAGGTAAGCAGAGATATCCCTAGAACAGTAATACATATATTTTGACAATATATAAAATGTTCGGAATGCAATAAGCAACAATTTTGCAATATCACGTATCGTTACCTTCGTAAATAACTCCAAAGGTAGGCCGCATAACTCTGGATTAATGTGAGCGATTTGTGTAATGTTATTCGCTAATCTCGCGTCAGAAAGCGCATCGCTACTCGTGTCACGAGGTAAACTATTATCTGTGTCACCGGTGCTTAATGTAATAGCGTTCACACTGTGTACTCTGTGTACATTATCGTTTGGCTTCGGCGAATATTTAGAATTGCTTTCCTCCAGGTAAGATTCGGTACATTCTTGTGCCGATTCTATCTCGATAACTTTCAAATTCAGATTTTCATTGTCATTGTTATTTTTCTGTAGGGTTACATGCTGCAACCCATCCAAGCATTTGCCTTCCATAGACTCCATGGTTTTGTTATCGTTAATACACAAGGAGTTTCTATTACTGTTATCGTTACACTGTTCGTGACTCGTATTCGATATATCGTCTTTGACGATATGAACGGATGACAAATTGGAATCGTCGACATTATTTGAGATTTCTTCCTCATCGAAAGTCGGAATCGGAGACATTGGCCTGGATGGTCTGAAGTGAAGGATTTTATTTATTAGACTGTTTATTAACAGTGATATATTTATTTTTTTAAAATTAAATCTTCACAGTACCTCACACAAGCCGCTTGTTGGAGGCCATGTTCGATCATGTCTGGAAACAGTGACAGTAGGGTCAATATCGTGGCGCACAGTGGTTGTACAGGCGATTGATAAAAAACTATCCTTTTCTCAAGCAGGAGCAATTTAAACAACAGCAACACTTTGTGACGAAATTGCAATATAAAATCTCTCGCAGACAAACCTGTCAACAATTGGTATATGTATAATGCAGATGGTAATTATTAAACATAGATTCAACTCACTGATGGACAATTACCAACAAAAATTTGTGGCGGTATCTGACTTTCACCACTCATACATGAATTAAGATGATGATAGGTATCCTCTAGTAAGGACACTTTACTAAAATCTCCTTCTTCAAAATATGCATGCGTTATCAGAGCCATTTTTACTTGAATGTGTCCATACAGAGGCAAAGTACTCAGCACGCAAACTGACTTTTGAACAGTGCCTCTCGTTATATCGGACGTGCGATTCTTTAATTTCTGCAAACACAGTGTAACATTCTACTCGATATCTATTTTAAGTTAAAACTTGTATATACTCGTGGAATACAGCACAGATTTTTAATGAATGTCCTAACTAAAGACATCCAAAAGACGTCTCTATGCCCTAAAAGGACATTCAAAGGATGTCTATAGGATGTCATTATATTAAAACTGTCTAAGTAATAAAAAAACAAAAAAGAATACTTTTATATACCTCCACAGGTATTTGGCGGAAACATGAAATGCCATATATCGTTTGTTTCGGATCGTTCAGACTAGGTAAGTGAAAATAGACTGTGTCCTCGTCGTAATTATGGGAACCATCGGGCAGAGCAAGAGTGGGCAGATACTTCCATCCCAATGGGCATTCATTAGGTGCACCAGGTACCAAAGGTGGAAACGAGTATTCTACCTAGAAGATGACATAACGTTAGGACGCGTTGGACGTGATTGGGAAAGAGCAGAGCGTGGATGTAACGAGGAGGCAGGTTAATCTGGCCTGTCATTCTACCTGGCAGCCTTTCTTGTGGTGAAACCCGACAACGATGACGTGAAGAATCGGCCCGCTCGATTCTGCCATCCTTGCGGTTCCGATGGTGACAACGACGCGGCACTTCTGGCACCTATATCCACGGGCAACTTGCGAGCATCATTTCACCGAGAGAAATATCTGCCGAGCCAGACGAACTGATAGCGGCAGACATGCGATTTGACATGCGCCATGACGTACATGTACATGTGTCGACTGAGCTGCTGTGCACATATACACACAGAGATGTATACGCACGCGTCGAATATTATCATTAGTGTTATCGCGTTTGAACGGCTGCTATCCAATAACATAAATACATCTTCGATATAATTTGGAGTTAGAAAGTCCTTTGCATTTAAAGATAACATTTGCGCGTCAATTCATACCGCGTCTTCATGAGTCATGACCCAATAACTGTTCAAGGAGGTTCAAGACGGCACCTCGGTGTTGTAATCGTTCAAAAGAAGAAATTTAGGCAATAGGCCTGTTTTCTGTTGCTAAACTAGTGTACACTTTTGGAATTTAAAGTAAGATAAATATATGTTTGATATTTGACGAAAACGAGAAAAAGAATCCTAGTGCAGTTTAGTGCAGGAATAAAAAACAGACCCAATGTGTACCTCATGGCATAAGAATTTGGATAATTGAAATATGTTTTATAAACTTATTAATACAAACAATTTTTAATAAATACATACATTTGTGCTTTTCATTTAAACAATTCAACATAAAAAACAATTTCTCTTTTACATCTATAATATATCACATTTTTATTATATTGAAATTGAAGTCAATAAAAGATGTTTCTGTTTAAAAGTATCTTCGATTTAATAACAAAACGTTTCACATATCGCATACAATTGTTACTTGTACATATATATAACGTATGTGTGTGTGTGTATGTGTATATGTACAAGAAGTTCTTTTATTACACAATCTAAAGATACTTATTACACAATCCACATTAGATACTTTCAGTTATCATACAAGTTTACAAATTGAAGCAATTCATTTTCTTTGTAACAAATCCACGCCTCCGTCTCATTATATCCAAACTGCAATTTCGTTTTTCAATATAGAAAAATAATTATACCGACATGCACATACATACATATATATATACATTTATAAACAAATATAATTATTTTCCTATTTTTTCTCTTTATCGATCTGTCACATAAGAGAGCACCAACAGAATGCATGACATCGGCATTTCGTTTTCACTTGAATAAGTCCATTTTCTCTCGATCCTTGATAGGTTGCATCTGCACATGATGACAATTCGCAGGACGCAGCTCTGAGAATATCTTGTTCGCTCAAGTTGGGAGCGTGAAGTTATTCTGTGTCATTGGCCTCATAGCCGTTCTCCTTCCCTATGGCAGCGAGTAGGAAGGAGAGGAAGAAGATGGGTGGAAAATGTCAATCGGAAGACGCGCTACCTGCGTACGTTGAAACCCCGGGTACCATCCGGGCCGGCAGGCATACGAACAACATTGCTAGGAAAATTGTTGCCGTTCGGTGTGCTCGATTTTGCCTGAATTCTATTGATCTCTTGCATCGTCTTCTCTTCCGGACTCTTTTCTTCTCCTAGGATCCGCTTACGCGCCTCTGCATATTCTTGCTCCCGCTACGGATTCATTAAATACTCATATATATTTGACAGTACAGAATTTTACAGATGAATTAAGGATGTTTTATAGTAAGAGACATTGATGATTCAGAATAATACAGTGAATCATTATATTCTGGTGATTTGCCAATGTTAAATAAAAATAAAATAATCACGGTGTTACACTGTTGCTGAAAAGCTCTCCTTATTATTTGCCAAGTTTAAACAAAGATGAAATTATTCACAGTAGAGATCCTACAGCAGTCTGGAACTACAAGCAATTTTATCAAAACAAAAAACGAGAAAAAAGGATTTTCTTTTTATACATGTGCTATTTCATTCTAAATACTATCTTACTCAGTCTAACTTATTAAAGTTAAACAAAAATGATAAACCAATCAAAAATTTGTCATTTTGTGACCAGAATCTGTTATAGGGTTTCTAGTTTACTGTGTTACACTATAATATGTTAGTGTACTAAAAGCTGCTATACATGAAATTAATCAAGTTAAATGTAAAAGCATACATGAATATTTTAAACAATTAAATATTCAATAATGATATTGTCGTGTTATTTAACAGAGGATGCATACATTATTTCATTGTCAAAGTTGATTATATTATTCCAATTTGATTTAAGCATTTATATTGATTTAAGTATTATATTAAAGCAACTTTTTATGTATACTAATAGAGGATGCTTTCTAGCAAGAGATACAGATGACACAGTATAACACAATAAATTATTACATCTTTAGGTGCTTTCCATTTGGTGGCACAAGTCAGAATTCTGTCTTTGTTATTCCCTGAATGTCAAAAAAGATAGAATGATGTTTGTGTTGACTTGTGCCACTGAATGGAAAACCTCTTGTTGTTTGCCAATATTAAACAAAAAAATCACTGTATTATACTTGTCTCTTACTAAAGAATCCCTAGTTTAATGGAGTAATGCAGAGTCTACGATAGAAGTTGTAGCAATTGTTAAGTCTTAAATCGTAGAAAATTGTATTACAGATCATGTATCTCTCTTGCTGGTAAGTACCTTAAATTATATTACCTGCTTAAGAGTCTTGATAGGCTGCTTAGGTTTATCGTCGTTCAGTGGGCCATCGCCGCTACCCCGCGAATCTGCAGTAGGTCTTTTTAATATCTTTACTAAGGGTTTTGGAGGTACATACTGAGATCTAAGGCCATCTTCCCCTAATATAATCATCCTTGTGTTGGCATCGTTATTGGTTCTACAGCCAAAATATTATTGAATACATAAATTCTATACATTATAAATGACAGAAATATTTTCCAATTACTTAAAAATATGAAGGAGAAACGAATCCAAAAAACGGTCACTTAAACCTACCTAGAAGATTCTATCTCTTCCTCCACTGTGTTTAACCGAAGGGCCTCCAATCTTTTGTCGAGTGTCTAAAAGCCATTATAATTATACATTCCTCTTCTACTATCATATAATAATAAATAATTTCCATGAATGAGATCGACCAGGAATGAAAATTTAAGAAAAAGAATTTAGTACAAAAAAAACCTGTCCTTATGGCAGCATAAAGTATTACTTAACTCGCGTGAATCAATCTATCAATTAAGGATCGCGATGTACAAACAGCAAAGAATACAAGCACGTCGTTCCAAAGCGCGAAAACGCGAGACGACAAACCGCGGAAAGTCTTTTCGTCGTCGACGGAAATTCCGGAACTCGAAGGAGGTTATAGGTTAACTCGAGGGCGTTCAGTTTACACTCCGATTTGGAAAACGAAATTCTGAGATGTGTCTTACTCCGGACTCCTCTATCTGTTCCCAGCTCTCGAGAACTTCGTCCATGGCCCGGGTGCGTCGTGAATTTCCGCAGAAATTCCCGTAATTCGCCTGCAGCGTGCGAATTGTGGTGTGTTGCGAGGACTGGAGTGGAGAACAGCACGCCCGTGCTCGGAATCTGGAGACGACGGTACGATCGGTGCTGCCCTGCGTTGCGAGGCACTCAAATAAGTGGAATTGGCGGTTCATTGAAACCTCCCGACTCGCCTTCTCGGTCGTACAATTCTATGAACAGTATAAACTCGGAATTGCTCGAAGTCACTCTGGATTCGCTGCGAGACGAACCCGTCGTCCGAAGATTCGTGGGGCCGAAGCTGCGTTAACAGAAATGGACGGCATGATCGGAATTTAGAAAAATCTTTATTCCATTTCTATCAATATAGATTACCTTCGATTTAATCTCGATTTAACTTATACTTGCTTAATTAATTCTTGGAACTAGGAAAAGATAAATAAGTAAGTTAAACTAAGATTAAAGTTAATCTATATAGAACTTGTAAGAGCCGCTCCTGTTGGACCAATAAGCGTGCTGCATCTGATGGACGAACTCGTCCTATATTCGTGTGAGACCTCGGCTTGATCGGTGCTTCCACCTTCCACCACGTTGTCTGCTTTGCCCGACTTGCACGAGGATCAGTTGGATCAGTTGACGTTTGATTGGACTCCATGTCGGGTGTCGGCGTTTTAACGTCAGATTCTGGGATCGTATAATGAACCACATAATATCGGTGTGATACCGGATTACACGTTGTGATTCTACTTCTAATTTGAGAAAAGTATCTCACAGTGCAAAATATGACGGAGATAGAATGGTGAGAGAATTTTTGTTCAAGTTATTTCAGCCCGTGGAACACAAACAGTATAATATTATATCAATATTGTAATTCTTCAACAATATAATTGTAATGTCACACGCGTTGTACATAACAATTACATGTTGAGTACTCTCTAAATTCTTTGGAGTAACGTGGAATCTCACTCTAAGTGAAAATTGAACCTGTCGTAAAAAGGAGTAGCTCATTGTTTAATCTTTAAGAATAAAATTTTATTATTCAGTGCAAGAGTCATCCTGGGTGTATTCCAAAACTTGACTCTGTCAACTCCGAATATCTGCTTTTAACCTTGCATAACATTCAGCGAACAACATGATAAAATGATATTTGACTTGATATAGAGTCAAATTAGAGTCGAAGACTCTGAAAGTTCAAACACAACTCTGAAAGTTTTAGAAAGTAGAAAATTATGAAATCTGTTTTTTATTCCTGCACTACTTTAAGTTCCAAAAGTATACACTACGTCTGTCACAGAAAACAGATCTTTTGGCTGCTTTTTTTTTAGCGACACAGTTGATACAAACATCATTCTATCCTTCTTGGCATTAAATGTATAATAACGATAAAACGACATATGTGTCAATTATGTGTCCTGAAAGGAAAGCAGCCAAATTCAAAATTGATGTAATGTTACTTTTAGTTTGTATTTTACGGGTGATATTATTATTACAATAATAAGATTTTCCTCTAACATAAAAAAATAAACTATTATACAAAAAAGAAACATTGTTGCAGGATATCAAAATCCATGGAATATGGGACTGTAAAGTTTGCATGCTTAGAAGAAGCTACGGAGCATCCATTGAAACCAGTTGTAATCACTGTAAGAAATAGTTGGAGTACTATTTTGAATATCTTAATTTCTATCCTACATTCTCTCTTGTATGGACAAGTTTTCATAGATTTTTACTTTTGTGTAGCTAATTGATGGACGTAGCGCAGTTAGACGCAGTGCATTGCGGAGTACAAGTACCAGTTCCTCTACTGGTACACCTACACCAACACACGTACCAATTCCTGCAAATCCATTGAATGATCCATTGTTGAGTCATCCTTCCCTGGATGGTTCTGATCCTCTTACACAATTTGCTCGAGAAGAATTGGATCCTCTCTCTAAAATGGCTGCAGATGAAGTAATATATATAATTTAATTACGTTTTTAATACTTTATAATTTTTATAAGAAGTTTATATTATCTTGTGTCATAGTGGGATTATTCCAACGTTGCACCTGTCAGTAAAAAATCAAAGGACACGGCAGAGGAATTGGTGGAACCGTGGTCTGTTAGACGTTCCGCTATACTGAGTAAATATACAACCTCTGAAAAATTATCGATTGTCACCAGTTTCTTACCAGGTGGTGAAAAAGGTATATTTTTAAAAAGATTATTGATTAATTTAATTTTTTGAAGTGTAATATTAAAATACAGTATATTATTTATTTAAAATTGCCTATTAATAAGTAGCTTTTTAAATTATTGCAATGTTTGTCATAGTTGTAGTAAAAGTTCAACCGAGTGGGCCAATGGTCGACAAGGTAAAAACGCGGCTTGAACAATTAGACGATTTTGAGGAAGGTTCTGTTCGACAAATGTTGGACTTGTCGCAGCAACAATATACCGCACGAATCGAACAATTAAACAATGAATTAGTACAAGCGTGGCATTCCGACCAAAGAGTAAAGGCGCTCAAAATTGCAATACAGGTTTTAATACATTTATTAGCTGTGTAAGAGAATTTAGAATAAAAAACTTACGATTTAGGAATTAATGTTTAATTATTTCAGTGTGCCAAATTATTAGTAGATACGTCCGTAATGACTTTTTATCCGAGTAAGTTTGTTCTCATCACAGATATTTTGGATATCTTTGGAAAACTTGTATATGAGAGATTGAAAATTAAGGCTGAGTACTACAAGTAATTATTACATAAGAAAACCTTTATATTTTAATTATACATGTATTTTATATTTTTTTTTAGCGAACAGTTACAAACATTATTTATAGTCGATATTAATATTTCTTTCTTAGACCAGGAAGTAAAGTACCTACAAGCTTGCCCGATAATTTTACACCCGACATGGTTCCTGAGAGTGCAAAGGAGACGTGTCGGAATTGGTTTTACAAGATAGCTTCAATACGAGAATTAGTATCGCGTCTTTATGTAGAAATGGCGATAATAAAATCTTACAGTTTTCTAACGACCAGGTAAAACTTTCGTTACTATACTCGTTATATTCTAATAGCATAAAGGTTAAAATATTAAAGTAATACTTTCATTTTAGTGAATTCAATACTGCTCTGTTACGTATAACTCGTATGATAAGAGGTATCGGAAATCCATTGATAGCAGTTTACGCGAGGTGTTATTTATGTCGTGTGGGATTAGCATTGAACAAAACATCAGACTTTGAATTTGTGAGGGAAAATCTGTATGACTTTCTTTTTACGTATCAGCAGCTATTTGGGACTGCTGTGAAAAACGAAATAGTGAAGCAAAATGTTACCTTTCATTCGTATCTTAATTTATATTCGCCAGCTTTGGATTGGATCGTACAGGTTTTAGTGGCAACATCACCCGAGAGCCTTCTCGAAGAGGTTTTATCTCGTTGTAAAAAACAAGAGAACGGGTAAATATATTTTAAACGTGTATTTTTAATTTATCGTTAATTTTTAATCTTTATCTAATCAACATGTATATATTTTCAGATCATTGTTATTAAATACAGTGTTGACTGCATTTAAACCTACGTATATTGCTGCACGTGCTATGGATTTTGTGAATTTAATAGTAGCGAGTGAAGACGATGGTATTGAGATTTTTTTAAAAATAAAATCAAGAATGTAGTAATACATCTTTAATTTACGTTTTCTCTTCTTAATGTAATAGGGTATCCTCAATATCTCTTATACCGGAGTTTGGGAGAATGCCTTGTACGAGAATCTCCACCGAAAGAAGACTGCCAATCAGTGCTTAATGTGATATGGAAGTACATAACGGACCTCACAGATCCCAACAAATTCATGCACTGCATCGAGATCTGGATTCAGTTCACTGTCATACACTTTTCAGTAAGTTATTTCTGTGCAAATGATATTTAATTATATTGTTAATACTTTATATAAAATCAAATTATTGTTATATATATACATATATGTTTATAGGTGATTGAACTGAATTTATTTTTCGGCAAAATAATAGATCGGCTACGACCAAACAAAGCTTTCGAAAATTATTACTCACAATTGCAGAATATTATTGAGAAAATAGTTGCCCACACACAAGATTTTGAATCACTGCTTGCTATGGTAACTATCCGCGCAATTATAGACGCATATATCATTTATATTTATTCACGTAATTTTAAAACATTCTGTTATTTGTCGTTTGTAGGATAATTTTTTACCTCTAATTGATTTGTTTCACAAAGAAAGTGTTAAGGTTGAAGTTTGTAAAACTGTCATAGAAGGATTAAGTGTGCAAAACGGACCTATTACGGATCCTATTATTATAAATGCACTGATGTTTATTGCGAGAATAATGCACGATTCTGTTAGGTACGTCAATTTAATTTAATGATTAAAGTTTATCCTGATCCTTAAAATCACACAAATCAATGCAGTGCTCTGACCGTTGAAGATGAGAAACGACAGATCGGACAACTAATATGCGGATTAGTGCAACGAGTAGATTATGGTCGCGATTTTGAGAAGCAGCTTAGTTTTTACGTAGAGGCCAGAGCAGCATTCCCTAATCTTGATAGTGTTCATATACAACTTGTACAAGTATGTGACACATATATGACTATACAATACTTGATATGTATAAATAATTCTTCCTTTTGCACTGTTTGTCTATATAGAAAAAAAGTTTAGCGATAATAAAGTATCTTTTTATTTGTGCTCAGTGCGTGAATAGATTATCGGTTGATACTAGGAAAATAGTACGTGGTCATCACACTAGAAGAACGTCAGCGTTTGTACGTGCCTGTGCTGCGTTCTGTTTCATCACTATACCGTCGTTAACTTTAGTCCATACACGCCTTCAATTATATCTACTATCTGGACAGGTTGCTCTTTTAAATCAATGTCTAGGCCAAGGTATGAATCAAATTCATTTTTATTTTAACATTAACATATTTTTTATTTTTTTCGTTAATTTATGTGTGTAAACCGGTATTTTTCAGCCGATGCCTGTTTTAAGGCTGCTTTAAGTTTAGTTCCGGAAATGCCGAAAACTATTGACATCGATGGAAGACAGAAAAGCTCGCAGCCATATTTGCTCTCATACTTATCCAATTTCTTGTCAACATTATTAGTAGTTCCCGTAAGTATTTATATTGATATGCACTATGGTTTTAATTTTATGATTTTAAGATTGCTCTGTATTAGGATAGCCCAGAGCATGGTGTCCTGTATTTGATGAGAGGTTTGCTCAATGCAGTTCAACGTTGCTTCGAGGAGAATACTTCAACCAAACCATATCTGTATTTACGTGTACTCGATCTTCTTTCAACGGTAGCGCAGGAAAATTATCCGTATCATATTGATAAGGTATTTTATGCTTTTGCATACATTTGGAAGGACAAATAAATAGCTGCCACATTTCCGATAAATTTAAAATTAAAGAAATTAATTATAATTTAAAATTGATGTTACATAATGGCATTTCAGGTTGACTCAAATGATAAATTGTATGGATCAGATCAGAAATTTATCGGTGAAGTCAATAAAATATGTTCAAAGATTGTTGAGGAAATCTTGAGTCATCTCAAATATCTTGGATCTACCGAGCAATTCGATAAACAATCGGCTCTAGCACTCGAGCTGTTTAATTGTTTTATCATTCGTGCAGATTTACGAGACACTGCATTAGCGAACATGGCTGTAAATTTGTGGCACTTGTCGCAACGACATGGTTCAATGGATTCTAAAGTGACGGTATAAATACGTATTTGAAATAATCGAAATATTTCAATTTTTTATACATTGTTTTGTTTTAAAATCTTTATTTCGGATTTTCTTTTTAGATGAGAACGAAGGCTTACATGACACAGAAGAGTCATCATCGAGAATATGAACATTTTGCTGAAATACTGAAGAAAATGTCGAGGTGAATGACATATTATCGATAACAATCAAGATCTAGCTTATACATTTTTATTGGCAGTTGTTTTGGAAGATATTTTGTAATTGTGCAATAATTTTTTTTATTATATCAATGAAGCCAAAATTCACAAATAGTAACAAAAATATAAAAAGATAATAAAAGAAAGATAAAACAGCATATAAATCATAATAATATATTGTTAAAAATTAATATACAATATATAGTTAATATACAATATACAATTGATTGTTAAGCATCATTTTATATTATATTTTTTCAAATAAAGCAAATGCTGCTCAATATGAAATATACAAATAATCGATGTAGAATTTCTACTCAATAAAAATATTATTCTTCTAAATTTGTTATAAAGAATACATTTGTATCATAATTTTTTTGCACATTTTCTAGACTGTATGTATATCGAATTATTCATATATACTTACAACTTACAAATCAATCAAGTATTGTATATTACATTATTTAATTTGTTATATTACATTGTCATTAATTCACCATTTATCATAAAACTCTTTGTAACGTATTCTCATATAGTGTATTATAACTGCCATAGAAAAATAATAGTTATTTATAGACTTCATAAATCACACGATACATCTCCACGAGTACTTCAGTATGGAAGACATCAGATTTGGAAGACACAAGAAATTGTCAAGATGATTTTTATTTTTTTAAAACAGAGCGAAGAGCATCTAGAAATATATCGGCATGATGCTCTGTGAAGGTCAACGCAGGCCTCAGCCGCACGGCCTGGTTGCCGCATCCACCTGTCTGAATACCTAATAAGAACAAAGGAAAATACGAAAACATGAAAGATATTCTTAGCACTCGCATTTTATGTTGAAATATCACTTTACCTTTCGTTGTAAGTTTCTTGATGATATTATCTCGAGCTTCAGGCGAAGGGCAATTAAATGCTATGAAAGTCCCACGACCGCGCACTGCACTGATTACATTGGAATGTTCCTTTTGCATATCCATCAAATGTTTTAACAGATAATTGCCTACGCGTGTAACTCTATCTAAAAGATTCTCTTTCTTAATCGTTTTTATAATCGTTTCAAGCAGGATTATTTTGCTGGGATCACCCATCCAAGTATTGAACACACGATATGACAGTTTCGGTCTGCGTGCAAGATATAATTATACGTTAATATTAAAAACATGATCATGTTATTATATTATTTTATTATCGGAAAAAAAAAGATTTACTTCAGATTTTCTGAGTGATAATAACCGCCTAATTGCATTTTTTTGCTGAAAGTCATCACATCGGGTGGAGTATCTAAATTGAAGTGTTCGTGACACCATATTTTTCCCGTTGGTCCGCCACCGGTTTGCACTTCGTCGATAAGTAACGCAGCTCCGTACTAAAATATTTTTCGAGATTGCAATATATTTTTTGATAACGTACGATAAAATAATTATCTTGCAAGCTATGCCTTACCTTCCGCGTCACGCGTTGAAGTTCCTGAAAGAATTCTGGAGATGCGTGATTATCGCCACCTTCTGCTTGAATAGGTTCAATTATCACACCAGCCACTGGTATTTTCTTTTCATTTTTGTACTTTTCAAACAATTCCTCGATCTAAAATGTCAAGATTTTTAAATCTTCGCTTACATGCGAAATACTAAGGTATTTAACACTAGAAGTCCCGAATAGTCATTATTGACCATTTCTATTTTTTAGATTTATATTATATTTTTGTGTAAAAGATGAGATTCTGAAATTTTTTGACTTTTAAATATATTCTTTATGTTAATGAAACATTGGTGTTCCATTACTTTTTTTTCTTATTTTCTTATTTTCATACTGATTTATTTACTTGATCCTATAGTGAGTGAAAATCTTCTAATGTCAATATACAATAATAATTTGACGATATACCTCTGCGAGACAACGCTTATCTTCCTGCTTATTTTCTCGTATGTTTTCTTCTAAAGGATATTTGTACTCTGGAAAAGAGGCAATAGGCCAATCGAAAGCTGGTATATCCATCTTGTGAATGTACTTGCTGTGAGTTGTTGAGAGACAACCTAAGGTTCTTCCATGAAAACTACCTATTGATATTAAATATTTTATAAAAATCGCTAAATGGAACGAAACTTGTTTTCACTTGAACAAATGACTGACCTTTAAAGGACATAATAGAGTATCGCGGTGAGCCAGGTATTTGGTTCACCATACATGATTCTATCTCTTCCCTCGTGAACGGTTTGCCTTGTCTTTGTTTCTCGGCGTACCAGATAAAAATATTTTTAAAAGCATTCTCATTAGAACAAGAACCGCACATCATTGTTGTAATGTGTGATAATCCCGGTGGTGCAAACTGTTCAAAATAATTTTTTTAAATTACGCAAAGTTGAAAGACGAACAGGAAATGAATCGTAATTTCAGCTAATATCTGTTACCTCTTTCTCAAGTAAAATATTCCTTAATTTATTAGGCCAGTCTTTTCCCGGAAAAACACCTAAAGCAGGTCTATTCGCTATAATTCTCTGGAAAAAGTCATAATCGTTAACTATTTTTCATGTAACTTGAATACTGTCTTCGTGTAAAGAAAAATAATCCATATAAAAGTATTTCAAGAATAACCGATTATTAGAATTTCTTCTCAATACTGTATACACTCTTAAAGTATAAGTGATACATCTTGTAGAGGAAGTTTGCACTCAAATTCCATATATGAAAAAAAAATACGGTACTCCGCAACGGAGTGCTTTTATATCACTCACTTGATTAACGGGATCGGCGAGAGCCTCCAGCATCGCCGGATGATTGTACCCTAGAGGCATTGATGAGATTTGCATATAAACGTCCAGCAACACATTCCCGTCAACGTCTATTATGTAATTACCGGCGGATTTTTCATAGTCTGCGAAGAATTGTACGGAAGACGCTTGCTGAAGTCACAGATTTCAACATTGTAAATCCATTTCGTCTCTGGTATATTTACAAAAGACTTTGCATTATTATTCATATCTTATGTGTATACTTAATTCTACATACAACAATTCTATATGACAACAAATAGTACATACAACTATATCTTTAACTACTCTAAACTGAAATTTTTATACGAGGCGAAGCGTTCAAAATATCGTCGCAGATAGCAAGCGACTAAATTGATAAATTAAATAAAATGTCATGCCACATATATGATGTCACCCAAAGAATCAAGTTTGACGTACTTGTATCGAACTCAATTCTTGTAGCAAGCTGCGCGATCGAGGGCCCGGTATTTCCGTCGTAAGTACCGGCCCTTCAGGTTCCCTCGATACCGAACCGGTTAAGCATCTCTTCCACGTAGTAACGCCTGCACGACAATATTACACTTATACTTAAACGAATATTTCTAAGTGAAAATTTCTACATTTAATTTAAATATACGAGATGTCTAAAAATTTAGGAATCGATATACATATACCACTGCAAAAAAATTTTCGAAAAAATTTGAAGGTATTATTAAAATGCCTTACATTATTTTGTGTACCATTATCTTTAGTAATCGCGCGTAGTAATCACAGATAATCGTTTAACCGTAATATTTAATTGACTAATTTTGAATCTTTATATATCAAAAACTACTGATTGAAACGAAAAAATGGCGAATACATTTTTAATTGATTTTTATTTTTTGAACTTTTTTACTGTGAATTTTAATTCGCGAATTTAGGGAATTTCTGTATATTTTCTTTACGAAGAAACATATGTACATATACATATGTCTATGTATATATTATATATATAAAATTTTCTGCTCTTTTTGCCGACATATCCACACTAGAGCAGAAAAACAACTTAACTCGCTAAATTATTCTACAACTCTGATGATCAGTTCTATTGATGGTAGTTAAGGATGATTGCTTGATATATTAGTGTGATTTTATGTATTTGAGCCCCTCGTAAATCATTATGTTACAAATTGCAACGACGTGTGATAAAGTCGCATTTATACCCACAAAAGTAAAGTATGAATACAAAAAATAGAGATTGTAGAGTCTTTTATGTTGGACAAATAAGGAGATTGTGTTAAAAATAATATATTGCATGTCTAAACATCAAAATCAGAATTAAAAGATAAAATTCTCATTAATGATATCTGATTATAAAACATGTGACAATCTTTGGGCGATTTTGATTGAAATAACATGTTTTGGATGAGCTCTCCTATCTCAGATATCAGATCGTCAGTTTGATATCTGAGATGCTTTATATCACGAGATAGAATCCAATTGAACAAATAAGTATGTGAAGTAACACGAAGTTGACAAGCGTGACGACGCATATATTTGTGTTATTAGATGTGTATTCCAAATATTTTTCTGCTTTCTTTAAACCGAGAATTCAAGTTATTTGAAATTAAAAGAGATTATAAAGAATATTTGTATTGTTTACACGTCTCGTTAACTCTTTTTATATTTATATTTAATTTACTTTACCACTGAAAACATTCAAAATGACGTAAAATATTTAGCAACCGTAATAATAATTCATATTATTTTAATGCTCGTTTTACCATTAAGACATCATTAAGATATAAAAATATTTATTTGTTGAAAAAAACTTTAGATTTAAATTTAAAAATAATTTTCTTTGTTTTTGTGTGAATTTTTGTTTTAAAACACACACATAAAGTTGTGTTTAATACAAAAACCGTTTGAAAATTAGCATTATAACATTCAATATCACGACGAAAATAAACATCCTTTTTAGCTGCAATTTAAAATTTGGAATTAACGATAAAACAGCAAAAGATATCAATTTTTTACTAAAGACACACTATTAAGAGTATCTATCAAAGATGCACTGTGAGAGAACTAGTATATTAATTTATCTTTTAATATTATTCACTGTTTTTTGCCTTTTGCGATCGCTGCTCTTCATAATAGGGATTTAAGGTTCGCGGGGCGGCGAAGCAGCTGGAGCCAAGAGGAATTTATCGATTTTGTCACGGTCCACGCAGCATCCGCGATAGAGCGGCATGCTCCAGGATAGATTCTCGTCACCCATTATGCGGACTATACGAATCTAACGAAGAGGAATAAAGCAGTATAAATACCGTTTAGTAGCTGTCGGAGCGAGATCCGTCCATTCAACGCCCGATGATACTTGTTAACGAGCATTTCCGTTCGAAACGAGCGCACTGATACAAGGGCTACTCAGCAACGTCGTCTCTGCCGAAGGGATGGAGCCGTACTGGTCGCTGATACGCGCTGATAGTGTTCACCCAGTAAAAAGAGCCGCGAGAGTCTCGTGGGGGCGCAAGTTGCTCGATCAGCCGCTTCTGCTCAGCAAAAGAGAGAGATACAGAGAGAAAGACAGAGAGAGAAAGAACTCTTTCGGTATCGTCATAGATATTTGCGGTGAATTTCAGAACGTCGAACAGCACAAGATATATTAATTAATATTCTGTCTGTTATTGTGCGAAAAAAAAGTTCAACATGTACAGCAAATATTTGGCAGCGCGTGTGAAAGGTACCGAAGGCAAAAAAGAAAAAAAAAACGTTGGTCTCTTTTCGCGATGCTCTGACTGCGAAAGCAGTCGTTGATTAATGCGAGGTATCAAATTGTCCTTGCTTGCACAACTGTCCGTATGTCTGTTTCACCGTCAATGAATACCGTTGCGCTTCGTGTCAAGAATAGTACTGCAATTCCAACGTTTCCACGTGGCGCGACACGGTGAAAGCGAAAGTATACAATTTCGGGCTTTTTCCTCATTGGTTGTATCATTTAAATGCGTAACAAAATTGTGCACGTTCCCCGGAAAAAAAAAGGTCTTCCTTCGAATGCCTCTCGTTTACGAGCTTCGTACATGTTTATCGCAGTCATTTACGATGCTAAGTTATGCCGCTTTATAACTAATTTGTAATTTGATGTTAATTTGATGTTAATTTGGCATACATAATTAATTGAGATATAATGGAGATTCTATTATTACCATACATTATTCACAAGAATTATTGAATTTCGCGGCGATATCGTTATTTGGCTGCCACTAAACAATATAGCTATAAATATGTATACATACATTAAGTGTATCGGAAAGTTCTTTTCAAATCTTCTATACGTAAGTTCAAAACGCATGATTTTACTCAAAGAGTAACTTTATTGAAGCAAATATGTACCACTTTGTTCAATGACCTTGGCCCATCTCTCTAGGTAGCTGCATGATGCCCTTGCTCCGAAATGAACGTTTCTTATTGGCGAAGAATTGATCGAAGTGAATTCCGAGGGCTCGTGAAATTGAAACAAACTTTCCGAATGATCTAATACGTATATATATATATATATATATATATCTGTGGGCACGTGCCTTCAGTATACATATATAGTTGAAAGTGTTTATGCTGCGCTTGACCCCATTGCGAAAGGCGGAAGGCAAATAACCAGTTACGATCGCTCTTGTCTCGAGACAGAATATAAAGAAATCGATGACTGGGCAGGTTCTTCAGACGAAAGCAATAAACCAATCTGTCAGTCAGTGGATCTTATTTGACAGAATAAGGATACCGTATTTTTCTCAAGGCTCGAACGCACGAACTTTGTGTTCGAACGTGCGGGTATGCGAACGATCGCCGGACCTCTCGTCGACGATACAATTTCGAGCGAATGCCAAATGGACCGCTATCGAGGGTTTTCCAGCTTCCAGCTCCGATCATCCCCACTATACAGCTGGGGCCCATCCGACTTACCTGGAAACCACGCCTCAAAGTTCTGTGCCTACGGTTGGAGGTGGTCGTGTTTTTGGGCAGCTCGGGCCGCGCACAACGCACGCACATTGTCACTCGCGTGAACGCACTCGAGTGGGTCCGTCCGATCGTGCGAAACTGTCTTCTTAGGTGACAACCTACAACCCGTTCCGAAAGAACACCCCGTCGATTCTCACCTGCTTAACAATCCGATCAGGCCGAGCACGTGCACTCGTGTGAGTATAACTTTGCGGTACCGACAGACTCTACGTGTCGTCATTCATAATTTGTTAATATGAGGAACGGAACCGGTGTGGAGCTGGGGTCCTGCATTCTGATCAAAAAGTGCATTTAATTGTAGGATCAGTGTCGATTATTTCAAAGATCGATTGCGTAAGGGATGTTTTAATTTTTATAAATTAATAAGCAATTGCATTGTCTGACAACATTTGACTATTTTGCAATACGAGAGTGAATAGTCAATTTCGATGTACTTTTGCTTGCTAAACATGAATCTGTTGATCAAATTTGGCTATAATTTTTGAGAAAAATAGTGTCAAAAAAGCATAAACTGATGATTTTAAGGATTTTCATGATATTGTAGCACTGTCAGTAATTTTTTTTTAATTTTATTAATGCCACGCAAAAGTTTCAACTTTTGATTTTAAAATGTATTTTGTTTTGTTTCGGTACAATTTTCCGTTCTTGAGATAGAACGATTTAAAAATAACTCTTTTCTTATATAATAGGTGATCACTTATTAATAGATGAAAAAGACGTTTTATTTCATTTTAATTCTGCATTATATGAAAAGTAAGTACTTTTGTACTGACGTAGTATAATCGGATCATACTAAATAAAAAGGTAATTAATATGAAACAAAATACAAAAGAGCAGAAAGATTATAATCTTTAATGAGTTAAAATTATAAGCTCTCTGGTACAATGTATTTCATCAATTTTATATTGTTTTTTTATTTTATTCAGTATAATCTGATTATTTTACATCAGTATAAAAACATTTTCCACGTAACGTAAAATTAAAATATTATAGAATAAAAATTATTTTTCATATATTATACGAGAAAAGTTATTTTCAAACCTATTTTCGAAGCTATTTTCAAAGCTATTTTCAAATATTTTTTGAAAATGAAAAATCATACTTAAACAAAAGAAAATGCGTTTTAAAGTTAAAAATTGGTACTTTTGTACAGTATTAATAAAATTTAAAAACAATTTACTACCAGCGTTACGTGTGTGTGGTGTGTGTGTCACGAAAATCTTTAAAATTATCACTTTTTATGCCATTTTTTTTTCAAATTGTAATACGGCAGCCTTGGACAACAGATTCGTATTCAACAGGCAAAAATATATCGAAAATAATTATTCACACTCGTATTGAAAAATAATGTTGGACATCAATAAATGTATTGATTCTCTCGCATATATTTGCTCCAAGTCGATCGAAACAGGTCATGATACTATAATAAATCTCATCTTTTAACTCGATTGTTGTCATAATCTCTAGTCTTTAGATGAATTTGTGGCATACCCGCGACCTTGACTTGACATGGAAACAGGAGGTGCGTCAGTCTCCTTTTTTCCTTTCTCTCTTTCTTATTTTGCTATGTCGCCGTATTCTCAAACCGGTGCAACCCGGCGAACCCGATTTTAACGATTCCGCAGTTAGATAGGTCGTCAATCCTTGAGTGTGATCGATATAATTATTTTTTTTTATTGACAAAATGCAAATGGTAACACGTTTTAATTATATATGAAAATAAAGTGTCAACACGTTGAGCGCCGGCGACACACACCGTGTGCCACAGATTTCCATGATTTCCAGCAATTTACTAAAATAACTAATTAAGGGGTTTTCAAATTGTATAAAAAAATAATAATTTTCAAACATTTTGGATAGTTTCAAGCTTCGGCTTCTGCGCGATACACCTATATAAATTGGTCCATTGACTGTTAATAATTTTTTATTGTTCACACACACACACATTGTCGTCAAGAAAATTACCTCTTCACAATATTTAATGCGTATTTGCGAACCTTATCGACAGATCTTATGTGTTTCCATTTCTTGTATCAGGAATTAATAGAGTTTACCAATATTACTTCCAGGGAAAGAAGGATTTATAAACGTTTATATATACACGAGTTTATTAACCGATAAAGCGAATTGCACTTGCGAATGATCCATAATTTATGACTGCAACTTTCGAATCGCACGACCCAATATACGAAGAGAATACCATACGAGGAGGATTCAAACGCTGATACCTTTATAATCGCTTGTAATTATACGGATTATTGGCTTATTTTTTCTTATCCTCCGATCGCTTGACATATTTATGAATCGATATACTACACCCGTAAAGGAAGCTGTCACTAGGTCCTGCCGATATATGTATCGAGACACTACCGTGTCTCCAAATAAATTTGATAACGGGCAATCTTGTACAGTTATAGACATAATTTAGGACGTGTGAAAAAAAAAGATAAATTACCACGTTGCTATAAATCTAACGGAAGAAACTGGAGAATAACGTTGGAAAAGAATTAATCGTAAATCACTGAATTAATCCGGGCCCGCGAGGAGTCGTTCTCCTCGGTCATTCGCTTCGCGAAGGAATTCGGCACGATACTCGGCTCATGTTTATTCCCAAAGTTAAAATTCCATTTATTTCGCATTTTACAACCACGATTAGCATCACTTCTTCTAAAAATTGACTCTCGCGTGGGAGGAATTTCGGAGCTAAAATCGCGGTGCGATAAAAAGGTCGGGAAGAAGCGAGGAACATTGTTGTGAGAACCAGACAGCCTTGCGTTATAAGTGTTAGATTTATGCGTCATCCCGCTATGTAGCTTTGAATTCCATTATGTCGCATCTCCGTTCCCTACATGCGCGAATTCCCTTCCAGGAGAATTCCCTTCGAAGGGAATTGGCTGTGCTCTCTTTCATTTAGCACTGTGATTTGATAGTACCAGCTGTTCTCGACGAAGGCTAACCGGGTCTGTTTTATTTTTGCTGAATCTTTCGTTTTAATTGGACTACAGGGCGAATGTGTTTCATTGTGGCTCCACGAATCCTGCTATTGCAGAGTCATTTTTGATCAATTCAACTGTAAATTGCAGATTTGTTACACATGATAAGAGATTGAGGCGCACAACAAAAAATTAATTAAGTCTGTATGTATATCATGATTATGTGTAAAGATTGTATACGCAATTAATATAAAAATAAAAATATTTGATGACACTAAGAATAAATTAAATATAAGTAAAATAATTAATACAATTATTATTAATTCAAATATTAATTATTTGAAATATTAATATTAATTTTTTTAATATTAACAGTTATATCATCGTGTTAAAGAACCTTATAGAACTTATTACCGTTATTTCTATTTTCAAATCAAAGCATCTGTCGCGAATGATGAATCTACGGTTTTACCTCATCGAAATTCGACGTGCAGTTCAGC